TCCTGTTTTATGTAGCTATGGGTACACATACACAGATACACAGTCCAAAATGGCTTTTAAATTTTTCCTAATTATTAGCTCATATTTCAAATGAAAATATTTTGGTACCTTCAAGGCAACTCCAGTCAAAAAAAGAGAAATGATGTTTCAGGGAATCCTGACAATTCCTTAAGAATGACATACAATCCAATATGTGAATCCTACTAATACCTTGCTGGGAATGACAGCAAATTTCCTAGATTACCTATATACTGCATTTAAAAAAGAATCCTGGGCTTAAATGTAGTTATTTGCTTTACTTATTGTTTTAATCCAGTTCCTGTTATTCCTTAGAACTGCATCACAAGAGTCTCCAAATTGGTCCATTTTTTAATGGGTCACTGCCTCATTTCATATTTGTCTCCTGTAAGCAATCATTTTCTTGTTTGCATTTTGTTTCATTGGGGGTCTTTTCATTATCATGTTGGCTTAAAATATACTTTATAATGTTAAGTGTTTCAGTAAGTGTTTAGCCATATTGTAACACAGTCAAAGAGAGTCAGAGGCCTGAACATGCAAAATGTTCATACATAGCACAGGATTAATTCATTTAACTCCATGCACAGAACAGCTTTTGTATTCAGAGAAAATGTGCTCTAGGTTGATACACATGTCCCTATCTCACTCATGAGAACTACCAGCCTCACACTGTCTCTTCCATTTCTTGTCTGCTGGAAGTTCTTCAGGTTTCAAGGTAGAGGTTCCCAAATTTAATTCTTTTGGATAGTATAATCTGAGCTCCAGAGGAGTTACCAAACAAAAGGTTTCAGGTTTTAGTAAGATAGAAAATGCATGCTCTGGATTGATTATAGTCCTTTCAAACACTACTATACATCTATCTGCTGAAAATTACCTTGGTTTATTTCTTATAGGAATTACACTTTCCCTGAAAAGGAGATCATCTTTAGGACAGCATAGTTCATAAAAAAGGTGTTGTTAGACAGCAGTGACATGCATTATTTGGGCAGGAACTACTGCTTCATAAACTATAATAGTGTAGATGTATTCACTATTGTGACATCAATATTAAATGGTCACCTTTTATGCTAATATCAGTTTTCAACTGTATTTACTGGCAGTTTGGGGTTCTTTTCATCTCCATTTGTTTGGGCTTGAGACAGAGATTTGCCGTAGTCCAGTGTTCCTGAGCATTCACAGCAGAGATAGAAAATTGAATTCAAGTTCCTGATTCAAGGAATAAGTAATTACTGTGTAGTAGAGCAGCATGAACACGCAGACCTTGCTGACAAGCAGATGTGTGACAAATAACTGAGTTTATCATCAGTTTCATCTCCTAAAGGAAGTGGCACGCAGGCTTTCAATCTGATCGAGTTCACAGGAGGTAGTAAATCTTGCAAATCGGTGTTTAATGCATGCAGCCTTGATTTATTTGAGCAGAAGCATTGTCTGCCTCATTGTGCTGATGAGGGTCTTCACACTTCTGTGGACTTGCTTCTGATATTCTATGGTGTGAGTTTACCACAATATCTCAGTATGATTTCCCCTGGGGAACTAATTGCTGAAGTAAGTGCTGGGCAGACAGCAGCTGCATCATTAACAAAGTCATGAAACTCCTTTGTAGAATTTGGCTTCTAATTTATCGATGGGAACTCAGGAACCAAAAAGTTACCCTGACATCAAGTTTTCTTTGGAGGTCCTGTCAGATATCAGTACCTTTCAGGACAAAATCCTCAACAGCAACTTCCTGAGGTGTACTTTGGATGCATCTATTATCATTTGACGTTCCCAAGTTGTCTTACCATGTAATTGTTTCACTTGTCTATTAAGTACATGTGTTTGCAAATATACATTGCTTGTGGAGGTTGAAAACAATGTTAAAGTTGTTTTTTTCCCTCTCCAAGCTTTTCCTTGCAGTTCTGGTTGAAAGTGCAATAAATATTGACAAAGGTCAGAAGCATGTCTTGAGTCAGAATTTTCCTTTTTTGTCTGAATTTCACAGTTGTTTCCCCTGGTTTGTCTTCAATGGATGATAGAGCTTCTGAAGTATGCCTAGAACTGTAGGATTCCCACAATATGGCTCTTTCAGAAAGATAAGCTAGGAAGAAAGTTTAAGTTAAAAACCTTTAACGAAGTAGCTGTATTCAGACATTGAACTGCCATAACCCAGTAACTTGAGAATAAAAAAACAACCCACCCAGACTGCCATTAAATATGTGTTACGGGGACCACTGATTTTTGAAATACCTCCTACAAGTGCTGATTCTGCAGGCAGTTGTTTGTTACAATCGGATCTAAAAGCCCTTTATCTCCTATGGCTGTGCTATAACCTTTGGCTTCAGGCTTCTGGTAGGAACACGGCACATATTTCTACAAAGAATGAAACTCTAATAGCCTTATCAAATAACAGCAGTACTCACTGTATTTAACAGTGCTGGAAATTAGTTTCTTGGGCACTGATTTTGACAGGTCAGCTGTCACAAATTGGTAGACATATCTGTAAATACATTGGTCCTATAAACAAGTCTGTCTGCAGAAGTGGAAGGTGAAATAGGCGCATTTCTGAACAAATGAAATATTCTGAAGCACAAGGATGCACAGGAAAAATCCCTTCTGGAAAAGGTTTTCCTCATGTTCCATTTATCAACTTTATCTGCATAGGTTGCTTTTTAGAGGCTGAAAAGCTTGTGCCTCCTTAGAGAACAACTTGGAGTTCTGTGATGAAGTGAAATACGCTCCTCTTCCTTGCACCTTCCTCTACTGAGTTAAAGAGGAATCTTTGTCTCTCTCCTTTTGAGCAAAAGGAATAAAATTAGTTTTGCACTGCTGAGTTTCCAGCTCCTTTTAGGAATTCTCAGTGTTGACACAGAATGCAAAATGTAAGGTATTCGAAAAGTGTAAGGCCTTGATATGAAATCAGTTAGAGTTTTTGAAGGGAAAAAGAATGGGGAGGATTCGAAATGTCAGTCCACCAGTGATGAGGTAATAAGTGTGTGTGTTACATTTCCCATTATTCAATAAATATATAATAATCACATACAGTTTTTCCAAGCATTTTGGCCAAAACGTTCCATGTAATATTATCATGAACTTACTGCATAGGACAAATGAAGAAGGCTTAGACAGTAAACTTTACAGATTTAAGGTATATACAACATGCATCTATACTGGTCTTTGAAGTCCGCTGAGCCATATTGATTTATGTTAGATGACAAATCGGTCAGTTTTGTTTGGCAATAGCAAAAGCTAAGGAACGTCTGGATATATTTCAGAGCAAGGGTTTAAATTCAAATTTAAATAATACCACGGCTATAGATATCTGATAAGATAAGTGCTGCACACACTTTCATGTGAAGAAGATCATTTGTCACTCCAAACTGGGACTCCCCTCCCATAGCAGAGGAATAGTTTTCAATCTGAGATATTTAGCTTCATGAGCATCATTAGAAAGCTGAATACTATTCAGTCGTTCTCTTCCTCCATCTCTCAGGTCAGCTGGATAAAGGGAGGTGCATCTTAATTCTTTCCTGTCCTGTGTTTCAGCTTTGAATATTTAGTGACTACAGAATAATTTTCATCAGTTGTGATAGTTATGATGGCTGAATATTCACTGAATGTCCTGTTCTTTTCGCGTTCCCTGTTTATTAGTTTAGTGCAGTACAACAAAAATAAAACTATACAGATCTCTCCCATCACATTTTATTTGTTGGTTTGATTTTTGAGGCTTTAGGATAAAGCTGAAGTCATAGAAATAAATCATGTAGGACATCTAGCCATAGGCGTTTTCAGTGAACTAAGTTATTTCCAAGAAGGTTTTGACTTGTTATATGAAAATTGGCTTCTGGCAGGAAGAAGCCACATTTGACAGATCTTGGACTATGTCTAATTTCTACAGGGCATGCCTTCAGCTAACAACACTGCTTCCACATATGTGAGCATAGTATCAGTGTTTAAGAGTAGAGGCGAAAAAAAATAAAGCAGTTTCTACTCAATACTATTTATGGCTTTTCTGAACCAAATGGCACTCTGGATTCTGTTCAAAGGCAGCAGAAGTGTCTGACTGCTGCTGCTGCTGCTGAAGAGCATATTTAGTTTGAATAATCCTGTGCGTCCTGCTCTGGCAGGGGGGTTGGACTGGATGATCTTTCGAGGTCCCTTCCAACTCCTAATATTCTGTGAATCCAAAGGTCACTTAAGATTGACTTTTCCATCAAATGTATTCTATTGAATTTACTGCATTTCTCTTCAGAAAATGCAGTAAAATTGATTTTTGAAGCAATATATTTAATTGAAAAATAAAATATTTAGATGTAATTTTCAATGGAGATATCTTGAAAATATGCATCCGGGTACATCTGGCAGATGCATGTAGTACTGGTAGACATTAGGAGGTACTTGATCAACAGGAGCCTGGGAATGTGAGAGACTGTCATTGTTTTATTGATAAGGTAAAAGTAGGGCAAGAAGAGAGAAAACGGGACTTTAGGTGGGTTCTGAAGAAAGTCTGAGAGAGAAGGCAGCTTGACACCATAGAATATGTGTCAAGAATTTATGACCATCAGTGATTGAGAATGTTGTGCATAAGGAAAAAGAGTTTGTATTTGATAAGAAGTAGGGAATTATTTGAAAAGTAGGAGGGGATCTGAGCAGAGAGGGAAGTACGGGATAGTGAGACCACAGATAATCCTGAGAACTGTCAGGCAATATAAATTTACTGCAGAGAAATGTCCTATCAGAGTGATCTAAGTGAAATAATATGACAAATACTACAGATAATAGAGTGGTTATGTTACAGACATTGATGAAAATACATTCTGGCAAGGTACTTGTTTATGTCTGTCCTCTGAATCTCACTAATTCTGATTCTGCTTTAAAAAACTCACACATTTCTCATCCTTTCTTTATCCGTTCTGGATTTGGTCATGTTACTGTTAAATGTTTATATAAATTCTGAAGGTTTTCTGCCTAACAGTCCTTCAGGCTCACTGTACTTTCTGTTCCAGTTGGCAACGTGGGACTCTGAGAAAGGACTGAACGGTAGCCTGCAAGAACGACGCCTGGGCAATGACTTACAAGGACTGACACTCAAAGTGGTGACTGTCTTGGTATGATCCTATTTGAGTTCAGGAAACAAAATGCTCAAAATAAAAAGGATCTGACTGAGTATTTTGGGCACTTCCCACAGTATTTTTCTCTATCATTTTCAATTCTATATTTTTGGATGATCAGTTACATAAGCAAGGAAGATAGATCATTTTATCATTTTATGTGGAGCTGTGCACTGTCAGAGATACAGAGGTTTTGTTTGTTTGCTTATGCTGTTTCTCCGCATTGTAATTCCTACTGGGCATGGAACCAGCACAGGGCCTGAGTGCACAGGGGTGCATTCCAGATACCGGACTCTAACTTGGATATGCAGGTTCCAGCATTTCATGGATTTTAAGATCAGATGGGCCAATTATGATAATCTAATCTTGGCTCTTGTACGCTGCAGGCTGTAAAATTTAATCAAGAGTTTCCTCCATCAAATTAATAAATTCCTGTTGAGATAAACTATATCTTTTAGAAAGGCGTAGTCTTTCCAAAAAGTCCTTTTGCTTTTGGGAATGCTGTCTGTTAGTATCTGGACTGGTAGCAGAGCTCCTGTGAGCTAAGAGCTTAACTATGGGCAAACTAGTGCTTGAATGCATTTTTTCCTGAAATATTGTAGCTTGCAGATTGCAGAATGTGATGTCTTTTTGTGTTTTTTATTTCTCTTTTTCTGAATCATGGCTAGGTTATGCCATAGCTTATGTGGGATTTGAGCAGATCCCTTCCACAGGAACATCAGTTCCAGGTTACAAAGGTGGCCAATAGCAGTGGCTGTGCAGTGGTGTCCTGTCTCCACACAGGAGAGCAGGACGCCCATGCTTGACAAAAAAACATACCACAAAATGATGCATTTCCTTAGTCCCAAAACATACATTAATATAAAATAGTCCAGGAACTGATACCCATGAGGGTTAAATTTTGTATTTTCAAAATTTTAATTATTCACAAAATGCAGCATTTTTAGCTCTTGTTTCAGTATGTCTTCTGGATACTATTGTCTGTAAATGATGGCTTTCTAAATCTGATATGCTCTGAGATAGATGAACAGTAGTAATGCTCCTATATGCTTAACTTAATATCTGTATTCTAGAAAATTAGGACACTAAGGTAGGTGTCTGTGCCTCCTTTATAGTTCGTGAGAAGAGGCAGGTACTTCAGAGAGCAGTTTATTCTGCAGACGCCAGGAAGCTGCAAGAGGGGTTGAATTGTCCTCTGGATTCTCTGACTTTTCACATTAACTGTGGAAAACCCATGGCGGTAGGACTCAGGTGCTGAAGCATATGAGAGAAGCCTCATAGTATGCAGAGTCTACTGTTTTTGCCTCAGAAGGTTATGCGTATCTCAAAATCTGTGTCAGATGTCCAGAATTGACTCAGAAAACATCCTTTTGCTAAGAGAAGCAAACTGAAAAGCTTGTTTCATGTATCAGTTAAGATACTGTTTTGTTCTCAGGAAGAACCTTTTGTGATGGTGGCGGAGAACATACTTGGGCAACCAAAACGATACAAAGGATTTTCCATTGATGTCCTAGATGCACTAGCCAAGAATCTGGGCTTCAAGTATGAGATATATCAAGCTCCTGATGGCAAATATGGACAGCAGCTCCAAAACAGTTCCTGGAATGGCATGATTGGAGAACTCATTAACAAGGTACAAAGTTAAGAAGCTCTTAAAAGTGAAATTCTCCTCTTCCTCAGTTCCAACTTACAAGAGATTAAATAGGATGAAAGCACCAGTGCAAAACACTGCAGAGCTGTGGGTGGTTTGATTGTGGTGCAAACTGTGTAGATGATAGGAAATAAAGAATCTGTATTTACTCTCAAGTGTTAGCAACATAAACTGTATCAGTGTAAATCTGTGTGTTTACATGGCTGTAAGAATAAGACAGAGGACATGAATGTGTATGTGAGTGAATGACTATAGAAAATAGAGAAAAAAAAGTATTCTTCTTAAAATATTAATTACTATTTTAATTTTTCCTCATTATGTTTTTGCTACTTTTTTGTAGGTATGACTTTATTTGGGTCTCTTTGTGGCAATGTGTTTGATAACGATAAATTGTTTGACTCCAAAACAGGAAAAGTGTCCCTAGTAATACATTGTAAAGATCTGTTTTGAAGGACCAGAATTTTAACTGATCTCAAGAGTATTCATTTATTGAAAGCAGAGAGGACCAAATTTCTTAATTACAGTCTTGCGAATCGGGACTAAGTTGATTGAACTCTGTTGAAGTAAACGGGGAAAGTCTGTAGTTTGAATCTCCCAGAGAATGAAGTCAGAGTGTATTTTGTTCATGTTCTCACTATTTGACGTGGGACAAATGTTAATCAAGAAGGAGAATCAAAGGAATTAATAGTCCGTGTTGCTGCCCTTTGTAGAAAAGGTTACTCTTCTGCAGGAGAGTTATTACTGAAAGTGAAAACTTTCTCGTTATCTAGTAAGTAGGTAGCTCAGTATCTGGTAAGTAGATGTTTAGGAAGAAATAGAAGCAATTAAAGCAATAGCAAATGTATGTATGAGAATGGGATATTCTTGTTTGGTGCTAGGAGATATAAAGAGTTTTTTACTTCTTTTTCATTGACATAAGCTGTTTAAATTTCATTGATTTGAAAATGTTGTGAGAAATCCTGTTAAATTTCTTTGGAAATTGCTTTCTTTGAAGCAACAAAGTATCTGTTATGGTATTTTTTTAATGGTATTTCTACTAGCTTTTCCCCTGACCCCAAAGGATTTCAAAGCTGGCCTCCTAACATTTTCTTTGCTTTCCCAACAACATGAAACAAAAAATACATTTTATTTTCTGGAGAAAACTGTTTTTATTAACATGGACAAATATACAAATCTAATTACAGCTCTTCAAAAGCTGTGGGAATCTTAGTTATTAAATCCTGTTTTATCTTTCATTCAGTTTTAAGGACCTTCTATGTGAAAAACCTACTCATTTTAAATGCTGAGGTCAAAGCAGTTTCAGAAGCTACGTTGTCTTTGGTGCCTTCTTCCAGTTACTAGTTTTTGCAACTCCTGTGTCATATGATAACCTTTCCTGAATATGGACAGTTGACAGCTCTGCAAGGTGAACAACAGACATTGGATCTTTGCAACTCGCTATCAAATACATAAGCTAAATAGTTGTTTTTTCTTTCCTATTGCTTGCAGTATACCAGGTTAATATGGTTTGGAGTTTCGGGCATCCTTTGGAAAACAAGTGAGAGATAAAGGTTAAACAAATTGCACTCATTCCAGAGAGGAGTCAGGGTCACTTTTTTTGTTCTAGGGTACTTTGACAGGTTACGTTTCACTGTTTTGCTTTAGACTGATGCAATTAACAAATGTTCAAATGATGAAACTGATTTCAGTTTTATTTATGGACAGTTTATTTTAATTTGTTTAAATGTGTTAAATTATAGAAAGAAATGCATGGAGTCACTTGATTCTTAAAAAGTTTCTCCTTAAGGCTCACGTTGGCAGAATAAATGGTGAAAGGAAGAGACCTGATCTGTTGCGTTTGTCTCGCAGAGAGCAGACATAGCCATCTCAGCCATCACTATAACACCAGAACGAGAGAGTGTTGTGGACTTCAGCAAGCGGTACATGGACTATTCGGTGGGGATCTTAATCAAAAAGCCTGAAGAGAAAATCAACATCTTCTCTCTCTTTGCTCCATTTGACTTTGCGGTGTGGGCTTGCATTGCCGCAGCCATCCCTATTGTTGGTGTCTTGATATTTGTCCTGAACCGGATCCAGGCAGTCAGGGCGCAGAATGCTTCCCAGCCAAGCCCTTCTGCATCCTCCACCCTTCACAGTGCCATCTGGGTTGTGTACGGAGCCTTTGTCCAGCAAGGTACTTACTTGTTTATAAACACCACCAACAGATATTCAGAAACTTTCTGCCTTGGATAAAGCAGCAGGTCAGGACATGTTTGTCTTGGCCAGAATGGTCTAAAGATGAAAGAGAAGGCTTATACAGGGAGGTAATACTTTTTATTAACACAGCTGATGAAAAATCGGAAAAGGTATGTAAGTTTGGAGGGTTATGTTCTGCTTTTCCGTCTCTCAGTAATTCCAGAAAAAACACTCAATGCAGGCTTTTCCATTTTGGGAAATCTACCATGTGAAAAATAAACTACAGAGCTACTTCATGCAGAATTACAACACTTCTCCAGCTCTGAAACATGTACCTTTTCTAATTGTTTAGACTTAATTTTAGAAACGTTTATGTTTTCAAACTAATGTGAGACAGTTTATCTTTTGATTCTTTGAATTGAACAGAAAAATGTCGTGTAGTGACGTAACCAACTTTGCACTCAGTAATCTCTAGGCATAGGACTAATCCTATTGAGTTCAGTAGGATCGCTACCATTAACAATGTTACTTTTAGAAATTATTGGTTGCAAACTCTGCCCCAGAGTGTTTGTCCCATATCTGTAGTGTTAGTACTGTTCTTGGAAGGCAGGTTTTGTTGAATGCTAACATATGGGTAAGTTGTTAACATTTTTTTACATTATTTTCACTGTGATTGCAAACTAATAAAGCTTCAGCTGGAAAATCCTGTCTATTGCTATGAAATATGGTCACCTCATCTCATTAAGGTGGCATCCCTGATGGGTTTAAGTACAGCAATCAGCACAATAATAATCAGCACAAACATACACTGAAGTGACTAGCACCAGCTGTATGGTAAGGTTTGGTCTCCAACAATATTCAAACATAACTGTGTTGAAAGCCTGCTAGAAATAAATCTTCATGTTGTTTGAAACGTCGTAAAGAGTAAAAAGTAATGACACTAATTCTTCGGTCTTTGTAGATTTAAATATAGCAGATAACACACAAACCATTGGACAGTTTGTGGCTTTTTTCCAAATCTAAAATGGTCATGGAAAACAGAATATTACGGTATTCTGAATACTGTAATGACTTAATTCCTGCACATTAGTCATGCTTCACCATTAAGCTTTATTTAGAATATTTTTCATATTCTGTAGATTTGATCCTTAATAATTCCCAAGGGAAATATTTCAAAATATTATTTTCTAGAACAGCATCCAGGGCAAGAGTTTGACTGGAAAATGTGTTTGTAAATTATCAGTCTTAACAGAAGCAGTGCTTTTCCCACAGTGAAAGGGAAGGCTGGAAGGGAAACAGAAATGCAGAGGAGTAGCTCCAACAAAGCTTAATATAACAGGGCCCACAGAGGGCGATCATAAATGGAAGATGCTGAGAGACCCTCACTTTCTCTGTTTATTTGTAGGGGGTGAATCTACTGTCAATTCTGTGGCTATGCGCATTGTAATGGGAAGCTGGTGGCTCTTCACCCTGATCGTGTGCTCTTCCTACACAGCTAACTTAGCAGCATTTCTCACAGTATCAAGGATGGATAATCCTATAAGGTAAGAACCTCTTAACATGAAGCTGGAAACCTGGATTTCACAGAAAGGTATTATCCATTTGAGCACTCGTTCTTGCCAGAAGGAGATAACTCTCTAATAAAATACTCTGATTATTTGCAGTGGCTGCTTTTCTCTTCTCAACCCCCCCTTCTCCTTCACTCTTGCAACACCCAAGCAAGTTTTGACAGGTGCACGGGGGGGACAATGGCACTTTAATTGTGTATTTTTCCAGAAAAGAGATCTTTCATATTTATACGTACTTTGCTTAACTAGAGCTCTCACTGCTTCAGCTGTCTTTATTTCTTTGATGAACATCAGAAGGAACTGCCACCTCTGGGGAACTATATAACGTTTCACTTCTCACCTTCAATATGTGATTTTACGTTCTCAATATTTTGATATACACTGTTGTTTATACTGTTATTTGCATGCAAAGTAATATAGGTGTTCTTTTAAAATATCAATGGCCAAAATAGAAATGGCCAGATTCAGTGGCATTATTTGCAGAAAAGCTTCTTCTCAAGGAGGAAAAGATAACCAAACCTGACTCCAGGATAATATATGTAATATAGCAGTAGTTTTATTAAATTTATATATAATTATCTACAGTTGTGTTGGCAATATTGTGATGACAAATTACAGCTTCTGCAACAAACCAAATTTATCTTGCACCTTTGACTTCTTTCCTCTGACGTTTGCCTACTAATCCATGCCCAATGAGAATATTTTCAATACACCAGACCTCTGAGCAGCTCCAGAGAGCTCCTGGTTGTTTGGTGGCAATTTACGTGTGTGTGGGTAATTTGTTTTTCTTCAGAAAATTTAAAGGCTAAGGAATGTTTTAATTTTTCCTCTCGAAACACAGACAAAATTTCCAACTTCACACTGTGATGGAGTACTGGGGAGGGGGCCTGTGATCTTCCATGGTCAGTGTCAACAGGATTAGAGCCTGGTATCTCATGTTTGGTCTGATAGTGATGGAGTGGAGAGGTGGTCAGAGAATGGACAGTGGACACAGGCTCCCCTAGAAAATGCAGAGTCAAGGATTTTAAGTACCAGAGAGTGACACAGTTACTCTGCTGGTCTCCCTTGTGGTTACACTGGGAAAACTAGGACTGTAATCTTTGTGTTCAGCTCCTGAAACAGAGGCATTGGCACTTAGGTGAGGCTGGCACTTAAAAAAGCTGCTTTTGCCTTCTCTGTGCTATCTACACAGAAGGACATAAATAAGCGCATTTCTCATAAGCATGACCTTAGCAGTATTTCCAATCTTTAACTTGCCATTGTGTACCTGAGTGTAATGTAATGCTTTGTATGGAAATAGTGCAAGAATAAGAATAAGAATAAGAATATAAGAATAAGAATAAGAATAAGAATAAGAATAAGAATAAGAATAAGAATAAGAATAAGAATAAGAATAAGAATAAGAATAAGAATAAGAATAAGAATAGAAGCGGTCAAAAACCATAAAAAGTTTTGTTTTTAAATTATTTTTCTGTTTGGCCAAAATAAGTAGGTTTTAGCAGTAATAGAAATAAGAACTGCAAGCAATTTCTGGGAATAACATGAGAAACTAAATGGAATAAAAACTACTGCAGAGTATCTGTGAGGTCTGGCTGTAATGGGAGTAAGGTTAAGATCAGTGAATAAAATTGGTTTTGAAATCTAAGACAGAAATAGTTATCTGGAAAGCTTGCATAGTGATCTTCTCAAAAATTGAATCTTCAAGTTCTGGTACCTTCACGGCAGAAGAAATTGTCTGGTCTACTGAACACCTCCCAAAACTCATCAAAGGTCAGAGAAGGACAAAAGTTGAGAGTCTGCAAAGAGAGACACAAGTTTAAAGGCAGACCTATGAATTATTAGATGAGGCCTTTGAGGCTGGGCTATGACAAGATTTACAAGGGGTTTTGATTCCCCTTCTTATTAAAATGAAAGGACTTTGCTAAGAATCTTGAGGGACAGGGAGAAGATTTTTTAGTAAAGGAGCTGCTTGGTGTTGTTTTGGGACTTTAGAGTCCAGACCCCCTTCTACTGTTAGAGATGGCAGCTGAATTGTAATTAAATGCCTTTCTATACCTAACAGTGACTGCCCCCTTTTTGGGTTCCCAATATCGCATCCCCTTGTACAAGGTGTGGATACAGAAGGAAGCAAGCACCCTACTGTCATCTGCAAACACCAGCAAAGTAATTCAGATGCCAAACCAGAAATGTCTAAAGTAATTTAAGTTGCCGTGATGTTCACTGCTTGTGCTACAGCTACTTGGCTAGAAGGACAGAGGTCTCTATTAAGTGTTGTCAACCACAGTGTGGATTATTCATATTGCCTGGGGTGTCCAAAGTGGTCCCAGATGCTTCAACTTAGGCACCCGAATCATTCCCCAAATAATCTGAAATGGTAGCTGTCAGAAAGCTCTTTGACTTGATCACTGGTTGGCATAACTGAGCCAGTTAAGGGATTTGCTTGTCTTGGCTTGCCTATGGCTATTTTACAAAATTTGCAGAATCTCCCTGAGATCCTGCTACCTTGAGAGAGAGAGAGAGATTCGGACAAACCCTCTCATTGGAAACTGCTAGTGCCTTAGGAGAGAGGGAATGTGGTTAAGAAATGAGCCTTCATCCATTTCTAAGCTGTGGTGAAGGTATTGTCATGTCCCTACTCTTTAGGAGAAACATCTTATAAAATCTTCTGTCAGATTTAGAACAAGTATTTTTTCCCGAGAAAGTAAATTACTGCCTTACATGAATGCATTGTGGCGTGGTGTCTCAGCTCCCAGTACTACTGAGCTTCAGCATCATATGATGTGGAGCGGCTAGTTTTGCCTTTCTAAATTAGCCACTCGGCTTATCTGTATTGTAGCTTTCATGGACCAGAAAGGAATACTTACTTGAAATCCATTTTTCCCACCCAAAAAGGCACAGTGAGTTGTAGCTGAACATTTGCTCACCAGCTGAGAGGTACCAAATCCATCTGTGTATAATTTCATTGTTAAGAAACCAACCTCCCCATCCTCTCAGTAAATGTATGCTGTTATCTCTCCCTCCATAGGGAAGCCCTCTGGTGTTCAGTACTGCTGCTGCTAAATTGCCAGCAGGAGAGAAAATGGTATTATGGTGCTGCAGTAGCTGCAACACAGTTAAGATTTTCATTACAAGACTCATTTTCTTCCCAAGCCCCTCCAAAATGCCTAATAAAAGTTGTTTCAGCATCAAATTTGGCACGTGTGGTCTGTGACTAGTGGAATGGGAGTACGTTTGATTGAATAACTAGGTGTCAATCAACCCAGTGATCCTTACCTCCACAATTTCACTGCAAAACAAGTGTGTCATATAAATCATAAATTATATTTATTAGAAGGGGCTTGCTGAGACAATCACTGAAGCAAAGTTGAACCATTGGAAGGCACGTTTTTTGAATTAGCACATCAGATGAAAGCCTGCTGATAAGGGAATAGGTTTTTCTTTTACATGTGGTATTGGCAAATCACACAAGGCTTTTCCACCCTGCCATGAATTTCAGGGACTGCCTGTGGCTCACAGAAAGGTGGAATAACCAAAGTAGGAGACACAGCAAAGCAGCTTAGATATGTTGCCTGTATTTCTCTATTTCCTGACAGAGACTTCCTAAATCCCAAACGGATTCCCAAGTGCAGTGCTGTCTAGGTGCCCAGATCCTATGTAAAAAATGTGCTTATCGTGGAAGGAACCAAAAAATCTTCTCCTTGGATTTTCCCAAGGGCTTTACCACAAGTGTGATAACAGAGAGAGGAACCGGCTTCCTGCTCTGGTAAAGCTGCAAGTGCTGCTTTGCTCCTCACATATCCCATGTGCCCATCACTCATCCTGCTGTGACAGGGTGATCGAGAGGATCAGAATGTGGAGTTTGAGACCAACATGAAAATCTGTGGCCCTTCAGGTGACTGAGGATAGCAGAACTAGTATGAACCTTCCCCAGCTGTCCCCCATTTTCCAGTCACTAGCAGTTGGTAATTCTGCACCCCTTTACTCTTCGATACTGCTTCTCCAAGCCCTCTGTCCAAATTACCTCCTGTGCTCTTCTCATCTTCTCTCTGCCCCGACCACACAATAAGGAAATAAAGGCAATGTGTGCAATGTATGTATAGTGGCTGCCTCTCAGGATTTCTGCATTTGTGCATATTCACAGGCAGGGCAGCAAACCATCAGGCAGATTTCCCAGCCTCAGGTGGGCAGAGGAGAGAAATGTTACCTGACTCCAAAAGAGAAAGCATTTTTTGCAGATGTGTTGGTGGCAATGATTTAGGCTTAGCTCAGGCTGGGAAGCTGTGATCCATGTTCTAACTTTTTAAATCAGCAATTCTTAATTTTTGTTTTTAAATAGAAATGTAGGTAATGTTTAGAGCCTGTGCTAATCCTTGTCAAACCTGTTTAAATAGAAATGATTTGCATTTATTATTCTAATATTTGCCTTCAGAACTGCATGCAGCTGAGAAGTCTTCTAATGGGTCAGTCTGCCGAGTAAGAGCTGAATTATTACGTGAGAGTTTGTTCTTTCTTTTTTGTCTTATTATATTTTCAAACAGCCCGTGGATCTGCTGTCTGACTTACCATTTGTAATTATGAGTTTAATTAGCAGTGACTTAACTTCCAGCTTCATTTCTTGTTAACAAGCAGACTACATGCAGTTCAGTAGCTGCACAGATATTCTGAGACTCAGGTTTAGGAGTGCTTGTCTGACAAGAGGTTAAGAATTATGCAGGAAAAATAGGACATAAAACAGTAGGCTATTTGCAAATTCAAAAGAGTATAAATTTAAGATTTTATCAAATTGATTCTTAACGTTTGCACATCCAATGGATGTTTTGAAAGGCGTCTGTATATATATATTCATGAACTGCATACAAATACATGTTATATTTGCTTTAAAATTCACAGTTGTTGTTTCATGTTTTGGAATGTCCTTATTTGCATTTTAATCCCCGAATTTCATGTGTTTTGGTGACAGCTGAAGATTTTCTGCA